TGTTGAGATGAACCACTTTGATTCAGGTCCCATTACCTTTAGATATTAGGGTTTGTCATCAACAACTGAAATTGTTTTAATAGCTCCATTTACCTTATAGTTGATAAACTGCCAAGTGGCCTTCACTTCTATGAAATTTATTTGTTGTAGTTCAAACAGACAGTATCTTATTTGATTTTGATTTTTTTATAGTGTTATATATACATCCATATGTCAAAATCAAAATTTTTTGTTCTTTAAAACTTTTTAAAATTATCTTACTAGAGATTTGAAGACTTGAGAACAATTTTCGATATATTTAATATTTCCAAGGGAAACTTATTAAAAATATTTGATTGGCACTTATTTTTGAAATTGTCTGAGACATTGCTGTTATATACCTTTGATATGAATTTGATAAAAATCTGGCAAAAATTGTACATGCGAGAGCACTTACAATGCAATTTTCCATATAATCAATGTTTCAGAGGGGCATAACTCTTTTAAAAATAATTGCTAAGCACTAATTTCTGAACTCCTTAACGACATTGCTCATATAAACCTATGTTTAACATTTCACAGTGGTATCATACTTTAACTTTGTTTAAACCTGTTAATTACTTTTGACCTTAATTATTTATCCCTTATAATTTTTATTAACTATGTATTTGCATTCAGGTATCACAGATCAAATTTATTCGTTCATTGTGTGTTAATCTGCGTTTTTTAATTGAGTTAAGCCTTCCAATTGATATTTTATAGTATGTCTTTCTATGTTGTGATGTTATACTATTGTTTCAGAAAAGCGAGAAGGTTTGGTACCATTAAAACGTTTAATCCCGCTGCAAATGTTTGCACCTGTCCTAAGTCAGGAGTCTTATGTACAGTAGTTGTCATCTATTTATGTAGTTCATACGTGTTTCTCGTTTCTCGTTTTTATATAGATTAGGCCAAGTAAATTTAATTAGTAGATTTTCATCCAAATTTTTGAAAAAAAATGGGGTGGGTGGGAGGATTTTATTTTTTATTTTTTATTAGATATGAAACGCTCTTGTGACGTGTTCTTCATATACGCAAGTGTAATAATAAGGTTCTATCATGTATATACATGTATAACGAATCAAACATAAAAAGAAATGCAAAAACCAAAATTTGAAACAGGAAGTTATTAATGAAAAGAAATTATCGACAGTTACCGGTAACGAAAATGAACAAAATCCGGAAATCGTAAATTTTTCAAAATAAAAAAAATTGGGGCGGAACGATTTCAGAGGGGCGGGCGGGGATGAAAATCTATCAATTAATTTTAATTGGCCTTAGACCGCTGATTTTCCTGTTTGAATGGGTTTACACTAGTAATTTTTGGGGCCCTTTATAGCTTGCTGTTCGTTGTGAGCCAAGGCTCCGTGTTGAAGGCCGTACCTTGACCTATAATGGTTTACTTTTATAAATTGTTACTTGGATGGAGAGTTGTCTCATTGGCACTCATACCACATCTTCCTATATCTATGATATAAGTTTCATAAAAATCTGGCAAGAATTGTACAAATAAGAGCGCTAACAATTCAATTTTCCATATAATTAATGTTTCCACGAGGCATTACTCTTTTAAAAATAATTGATTAGCACTGATTTTCATACTCTTCCAAGACATTGCTAATATAAACCTATGATATAAGTTTCATAAAAATCTAGCAAGAATTGTAGAAATGAGGGCGCTAACGATGCAATTTTCAATATAGTTGAAGTTTCCAAGGGGTATAACTCTTTCAAAAATGATTTGTCAGCACTTATTTTCAAACTCGTCAAAGACATTGCTGATATAAACCTATGATGTAAGTTTCATAAAAATCTGGCAAGAACTGTACAAATGAGAGCACTAACGATGCATTTTCCATATAATTAATGTTTCCAAGGGGCATAACTCTTTAAAACAATAATTGATCGGCACTGATTTTCCAATTTTTACAAACATTGCTAATATAAACCTATGATATAAGTTTCATAAAAATCTAACAAGAATTGTACAAATGAGAGTGCTAACGATGCAATTTTCCATGTAATTTGAAGTTTCCATGGGGCATAACTCTTTTAAAAATGATTGATTGGCACTGATTTTCTAAATCGTCAAAGACATTGCTGATATAAACCTATGATATAAGTTTCATAAAAATCTGGCAAGAATTGTACATATGAGAGGGCTAACGATGCAATTTTCCATATAATTAATGTTTCCAAGGAGCATAACTCTTTTAAAAATAATTGATCAGCACTGATTTTCGAACTCGTCCAAGACATTGCTGATATAAACCTATGATATAAGTTTCATAAAAATCTGGCAAGAATTGTACACATGAGAGCGCTAACAATGTTTCTATGTCCCCCGCATTGCATTGCGCGGGGGACAAAAAATACAGGCTTACAGCTCTTCTATAAAAGCATGCAAGGCAAACCTTTGATCAACTTGCTTGCTATGTTTGTTTGGATGTTTGTAAACAACAGGTAAGTAGTCTGTTTCAGTCTGTTTACTATATACTGGAATTTAATTGGACAATAAACATTAACTTCATTTCATGTCAATTTTTATTGTCCAATCAAATCCCAGTATATATAAAACAGACTGAAACTCCGCATACTTATTGTTTCCAAACATCCAAGCAAACATAGCAAGCAAGTTGATCAAAGGTTTGCTTTGCATACTATTATACAAGAGCTGTAATGATAATTTGTCTTCACACTTGAAATTAAATACTAACTGTATCTAATGAAATGCTTATGATGAAGGTAGGAATCTTTTAATTAGTCCTGTTGTGGATATTTGGTGGTTGGAGACATATGATATAAATATCAGTCATCTATATTAGCAGTACCATTAATGTTAACTTTTTAATGATTATTAAGTTTATCTTAAAGCAAGAATGAAATAAGCAAAACTATGTAATCATTGTCATTAAACACAATTACAACAAATATTATTCTAAATACAAAGTTATTACATAAATCTCAACAAGTAAGTAATCAACTGACAGTAAATAAAAAACCTTCTCCAAATATTTAATCATGTAACACATCAGTACAAATGACATAATGGAATCTTGATGATGTAATCACATAGGAATCTTTACCAAATATTTACTGAGTATTATTAAAATGTCAAATTAATGACTTTATTTAATCTAAAGTTTGAATAATTACAATTTTCAGCTCAAATATGTCTTCTGTTATTCTTTATGTCTAATAAATGTTTAAATTTTCTACCAGGGAATAAGTTGTAATATCTATATATTCTGCTTCAATACTTTTTTTGCATTTATATTTCACATTATACAAAAACTCATTTCCTCCCACTGCACTTGATCAATCTTTTATAAATTACAATTTCAATATATTATGCATATGCCATTGTATGCTGAAATGTGTCATCTACTTTACTGACTAGGATTAATTTTATGTTGAAAGGCCTTCAGATAGAGGTTTCACTACAAGTATCACATGAACTTAATAATATCAATGATCCATGTAAAATTTGGGCAGCACTTTCCCTAGGAAATGTGCATTTCCATCCCTTATCGTGTAAATCCAAGGCCAAACATGTAGGAATCAAGAAAGCAAATGATAGGTGTGGGGCATGTTCATTTATAAAACATGAAACCATACATACTGCAACTCATGCCTGTGATAGAATATGTAAAAAAATAAAAAGAAGAATGTGTCTGAGGACATGAATGCCCCTTCTCAAGCTTGCTTTTCAAACGAAAATGGGACAGACGGAAAGACAGAAGGAAGGCAGTCAAGGGTAACACTAAATGCCCCCTTCGCCATGCAGCGGGGGCTAAAAATATGAACCTTATCCTTGTCCTCATACCAGTTTCAATTTCTCAATGAACAATGGCCATATCCTTAACAGTTTCTTTTTGACCAGTTAGAGAGGTTGGGAGTAGGAAACGTAAATAGCTTCCCTGGACGCCCCAAACAACTTGTGATACACGTTTACACGAATTTATAACCTCTGAAAGCAATGAAAGTGTCTTCATATTACTTCCCTGTTGAGTTTGTTGTAGATGAAACATAGAACAGATAAAGCAACTCTCTTGATTCTTTTGTAGAAACTCTTACATCATTTTATTAATTTATTCATTTATTTATTCATTTATTTTTTACATTTATTTTCCAGAGTGCAACTGACTTTTTAGAGTCTTCCAACAATACTATACTCTACATTGGAGCACAAGAGATTTGTTAACATCACTAGCTACAGGCACAATGCTTTCGAATGACTTAGCAATGCATCACTCTGACGTTTGCAAACACGGGAGGTTAACATTTATCCAGGCAAACCATTTCTGTTATTCATTGTTATTGATCACAATGTTTATTTTTAAATATGAAAGAATATTGAAAATATGAAAACAGACATTCTGTTTAAATAAAAATAAACTGTTGACACAGAGATATGTCTGGCCTGTTGGCATAAAATTCAGAAAAAGACAATCTGATGGACAGCAACATTGCTAATTAATTAGAAGTAAATGGACCATGAACTAGTGGGCAGGGCCTCGAATTGGTCATTCGAACTGAGATAGACAGACAGTCATGCAACTTTACCAAAAAATTTGTTGTCTATTGTAAGTAGTTCCTATCAAACTAACTTAAGCAGAAAACTTAAAAATTGTTGATGCCAACTACGACGACATCGTCATAGTCACCGGAAAAGCCATCTTTATGTCTTGCTTTCTGCGACTTTTGTCAAGTTGGTACAGTTTTCTTGGTGGATCAAAGATGGCCATACAAACTTAATGATATTTTAGGCCTCAGATATCTGTTTAGTTCATTGTTTTCATTAATGATATTGCAAATTTGTAATATTAAATCTGAAATATATGTACCTGTATACAAATCAACCAACAACTGTTTTTAAACTAAATAAACTAATCAATGAGAAAATAAAACAAGTTATAAGTCTCTTTCTTCACTAAAATCTATTATCTCTCAAAAATACAGAATATTAAAAATGATCTTACATGTGGATCAACTTCCAACAAATCTGGAGCTAGCATGGCTATAGTTGTATCTTTCTTTTTCATTCCTTTCTTTCTGTTTTCTTTATCTTTGGCACACTGTCGCTGGGAAGCAAAACTGTAGCATATGAAGAACATGCATTTATTAATTGAATTACTGTAATAAATCCAGTCCTTCCTACAAATCATAAGCAAAGGTCAATTGATGGCTTTGGTCATATTGGCTTTTAAATAAATATTTCTATCGTTGATTGTTTTTTGCTTTTTACATATTTTATCTATGACAGTTTTCAAGATATAAATAGAAAAAAAAACAATAAAAGATGTCATAAAATGTTCGTGTAAGGGATATAAACCCTATTAGAAGTCAATTGGTAATTTCATTCTTTGGTAGGATTTTTATAGCTGATAATTTTTGGCACTTTGGTAGAACTTCTATTGGGGATAATTTTTTGCTCTTACAATTTCTATACTAATTTTCAGTAGAACAGGCTAAAATTGGTAAAATAGCTGTCATTTAAGGGTTATTACTTCCATTGTAGTTTTGTAGTTTTGTCTTGTTCATTTTTTTACTTAGTTTCTGATTACCAATGATAGTTTTCAAGATAATAGGCAAAATACTAAAATCAGTAAGACTAACTGCCAATAGGAGTATCTGATATTCTGGATATTTATAATCACAGTCAGATTTTCTCAATCCATCATAGTTTTTATTTTTTAAGATAAAAGTTCACTAATTGTATATTCTATTTTTGGCCAAGTTGGTTCATTGACAAAAATCATAAACTTTATACTATATACTGTGGATTCATTTATTTTTGTTGGTCTCAAAAATCATCGTTCGAGGAAAAGTTGCGTTTTCGTGGATGTATAATTCAGAGGTTTTGACAAAGTCTGCTTACAAGCTAATAGAAAATTTGTCATTCGTTAAAACATTGAAATTCATGGTTCATCTGTATCCATCCTAAAATTGGTGTCCAATGATGAATCAACAGTACTTTAAGGTGGTACCAAACACCTTGACTAAAATTAATTTGGCTCGTTTAATTTTCATAAAATTTTGACAAAATATTTAATTTGACCCTTTGACAAAAAAAAAAATTTCAAAAAACTTGAACCACACACTTTATCGGAAAAATTTCATTGATATAGAGCAGTTTGACAAACACTAATTTTTGATTATTGAGAAGCTTAATATTTCCTTAACAATAGAACGTGATTAAAACGTTCAGCTGATTTTTACAGAGTTATCTCCCTGTAGTGTTATGTACCACCTTAAATAATATTCCTGCAAAGTGTGTTTGAAATTAATACAGTGGTTTCTGAGGAGAATATTTCTAATCAGTTAACAACAGGGAAATGAGATCAATGGCGAATGACACCAAGTGATAACAATAGCTTACATTTGAAAGCTCAGTAGAGCTTATGTTTTCTGTATACTGATATTCGTCTATAAATAAATCTTTTGAACTTTAAACTTGAACTTACATGGCCCTGATTAGCCTGACTAACTAAAAATACAAGTCTATCTAGGTCACACTCAATAAAATTCATTCAGGACTCTGTGGAACCCTATGTCTTATATAGATATAAGAAGATGTGGTATGAGTGCCAATGAGACAACTCTCCATCCAAGTCACAATTTGTAAAGGAAAACCATTATAGGTCAAAGTACGGCCTTCAACACGGAGCCTAGACTCACACTGAACAGTAAGCTATAAAGGGCCCCAAAAATGACTAGTGTAAAACCATTCAAACAGGAAAACCAACGGTCTAATCTATATAAAAAACGAGAAACGAGAAACACTTATGAACCATGAACTTATGCCTGCTATTGCTGAAGTCAAAGTGTAATATTGACTGCAAAAAGTAAGTCCATTTATCAGTAATATGGAAACAAAATTAGAGTTCCAACTTTTTTCTTCCTGTCTCTTGTCCAAGTTTCATAAAATTCTATGAAGGTTTGACAAAGTGTAATGTCTAAAAAATTTAGTCACATACTGTATACAAAACTGTATTAAGGTCCATTTATCAGGAAAATACGGAAAAATGAGATCATTATATTCAAAATATTGCATCAGACATTATCTCTTAATCATATAAAAAGCTTTTGGCAAGGTTTATGTAATATTCCATGAAGTTTTGACAAAGTTATAGGTGCTTTAAAAACTTCAACCACAGACTGAACATAAATGTTGATGCTGCTGACAATATTGACAGAATGTATAATCCCTTCCACAATAAAATATTGCAGGCTCGACAAAAAGGATATAGCTGGTTAAAAAAAAATCATTTCATTGATGTATATTCATTTAGATTTTAAGTCATATATTGTGACATGCCTTGATTGTCTTCTTGTGAAACTAACGTATTACTTTGTACAGTATATCCTTAAATGTAGCATGATTTGGTGCTCTTGTATAATTTTAAGATTACACCATTTTTTTTTTTCATTTTTTTGCTTAAAGAAAGAGAACTCTAATTTTGCAATATAAAAAAATCTAAAATCTGGCAGATAACCTAATTTGGTCTAACTTTTAAATTACCCTGGTTTGAAATATAAATGAGATTGCCCCAAGTTTTATATGGTACACAACATGTTTAATGAGTTCATTCTTCCTCGCATAATTGTTCTAAGATTTGGATCTAGACCGTTACATAAAGGTGAATGCAGAGATTGTGCTATTACTCCCTAAATATCAATTAGGCAAACATAATTGAAGTGTTAAACTTCACTTAAAAATTATGTGAATATTTGCTATTTTAATGACATGCTTCAATAAGGAATGATAACGCAATCAGGTTTTGTAATCAAAGCACAGTATGTAAATTTGATGTCATTTTCAACATCTATTGAAGTGATTGAATCTAATAAATAACTTGCTTACGTGACATTTTGCTTCCTACATTTGAAGGATATGTTGTCACATGTATATTAATATGAACATGAATAAAAGGGAGAGTGAATTAAACTTTGAATGTTAAATCAAGGAGATTTATATGCACTTTAAAATCCAGAATTTAATTGCTCTATATAAATGGAAAACTATATGAAACATTCTTGACACAGAATTTCTTACATCATAGACAAACTATTTAAAATCCTTTCTATGCTTGGGGATGAGGAAATAAAACTTAAACCTTATGAGCTGCTTTCATAAACATTAGTTTGATATAATCTATGGTTATACCTTAACTAACTGTAAATCCATCAATAATCTCGTGTATGCATTACATCAAATCAACAATTACCTAATAAATAGACCAGTAGGTAAATGATGTCATTTCTTTTTTTTTAAACAGAAAAGCAATGTAACGAGATTATATGGACACCGTACCCTGCATGATCTACTTACCATATTGTGGAACTAGCGGTCATTAAATCAGCTAAATGATCTTCATCATCTATGACATCATCTTCATTCTGACTGTCATAAAGATTAGCATCCTCAGCCTCACTTTGAGTATCGTCACTTTCAACACTACGATTTGAGCCTGAATTATGTTTTTGCCGATTTGAGAATACCGAAGGACTATTGTAAAGTTGAGCTTCATCTACGTCCATAGTATCAATACAATCTCCCGACATATAATCTGTCTCCATTCCCTCACTTTCACTTGTTACCACTGAAGTAATATCCTCCTCCTCATCTTCGACCTCTCGTATATGAACATGAAGAGGTCGTGTCACCATTCCAAATGGTTTAGGTAATAATGTCTTTGGTCTTTTCAATGCTCTGTTTATTATGCTGTATGCAGCCTTTTTACTTGGTGATATATGGGGTTTGTTTGGTACAAATCCTTTAGGCCGTATGGACATAGCTTTAGTTTGTAATTGTTTCCGTCTAGGACTTGTGAACTTCTTTTTCTCCAGAAATGGTGACACCTTTTTCACAGGCGATGTGAAGGAACTTAATATGATAGGTTTTGGAGCAACAGGTCTATAACGACTAGATGATGAGCTAATCGACAATGGAGAAGATTTGGTTGGTGTTCTCTCTTGTGTATCCTGGCTCAGACATGTATCTTTAATCAGTTCTGGGGAAAGATAATATGGAGCATAAGAAGCCACAATCTCTGCTGCTCTTTTCGTTGGTGTTTTTTTCTGAGGAGTAAATTCATTTTGCACTTCTTCAGAAATTTCATCAATAAGTTTTGTAGGAGAGATAGCTTTGTTTGAACTAGTGATATCTGTGTGTATTACAGAACAGATACTAGATGGCAGAGCAGACGACAGAATTGTTGAATCAATACGCCCTCTAATAGGAGCACCAACTGTTTTATTGACCAAGACAAAGGTTGGTGCAGCACATGTTGCTGGGGTCTGTCCATGCATTATCATGATGGCTCCAGATTTCCTCACTGGCGATGTACTTTCCGATGAAATCAGACCAAAAGATGTAACCATTGAAACAGGGGTAGAACACGATTCTGTTATGTTTGGAGAGCTGTGACATGGGTTACTTCCCCCTTGGTTTGTATTGAAATCTTTTTCTGATACAGTAATAGGACTTCCTTGATGTAGATCCTCGTGTAGTTTAATAAATCCTGGTGAGGTACATCTCTTTCTACCAATATCTTGTAATTGTGTCACTTTTGGGCTATAAAAAAAAAATTAAAAATACAGCATATTCAAAAAATTAAGAGCACTTAACTTGGTTCTCCTAATTCTGAAATTCTATTATATAAAACTTGCTCAAGGAAAGCACTACATTTCTTTCATGTAAAAAACATAAGTACTAAATAATCTATGAACATGATCATAAATATGGCAATCACACTATTTACAATTTTTTTTGGCTTTCAGTTTTTCCCTGATGAAGGTTAATCCAGAAAAAGCAAAGAATCCACCAAATTAGAAGACTATTAGTCCCATTCAATATCTTCTATCTAGAAGACTATTAGTCCCATTCAATATCTTCTATCTAGAAGACTATCAGTCCCATTCAATATCTTCTATCTAGAAGACTATTAGTCCCATTTAATATCTTCTATCTAGAAGACTATTAGTCCCATTCAATATCTTCTATCTAGAAGACTATCAGTCCCATTCAACCATTCAATATCTTCTATCTAGTAGACTATTAGTCCCATTCAATATCTTCTATCTAGAAGACTATCAGTCCCATTCAATATCTTCTATCTAGAAGACTATTAGTCCCATTTAATATCTTCTATCTAGAAGACTATTAGTCCCATTCAATATCTTCTATCTAGAAGACTATCAGTCCCATTCAATATCTTCTATCTAGCAGACTATCAGTCCCATTCAATATCTTCTATCTAGAAGACTATCAGTCCCATTTAATATCTTCTATCTAGAAGACTATCAGTCCCATTTAATATCTTCTATCTAGAAGACTATCAGTCCCATTCAATATCTTCTATCTAGAAGACTATCAGTCCCATTTAATATCTTCTATCTAGTAGACTATTAGTCCCATTCAATATCTTCTATCTAGAAGACTATCAGTCCCATTTAATATCTTCTATCTAGAAGACTATCAGTCCCATTCAACCATTCAATATCTTCTATCTAGAAGACTATTAGTCCCATTTAATATCTTCTATCTAGAAGACTATCAGTCCCATTCAATATCTTCTATCTAGAAGACTATTAGTCCCATTCAATATCTTCTATCTAGAAGACTATTAGTCCCATTTAATATCTTCTATCTAGAAGACTATCAGTCCCATTTAATATCTTCTATCTAGAAGACTATTAGTCCCATTCAATATCTTCTATCTAGAAGACTATTAGTCCCATTCAATATCTTCTATCTAGAAGACTATTAGTCCCATTCAATATCTTCTATCTAGAAGACTATCAGTCCCATTTAATATCTTCTATCTAGAAGACTATCAGTCCCATTCAATATCTTCTATCTAGAAGACTATTAGTCCCATTCAATATCTTCTATCTAGAAGACTATCAGTCCCATTTAATATCTTCTATCTAGAAGACTATCAGTCCCATTCAATATCTTCTATCTAGAAGACTATCAGTCCCATTCAACCATTCAATATCTTCTATCTAGAAGACTATTAGTCCCATTTAATATCTTCTATCTAGAAGACTATTAGTCCCATTCAATATCTTCTATCTAGAAGACTATTAGTCCCATTTAATATCTTCTATCTAGAAGACTATTAGTCCCATTCAATATCTTCTATCTAGAAGACTATCAGTCCCATTTAATATCTTCTATCTAGAAGACTATCAGTCCCATTTAATATCTTCTATCTAGTAGACTATTAGTCCCATTCAATATCTTCTATCTAGAAGACTATTAGTCCCATTCAATATCTTCTATCTAGAAGACTATCAGTCCCATTCAACCATTCAATATCTTCTATCTAGAAGACTATTAGTCCCATTTAATATCTTCTATCTAGAAGACTATCAGTCCCATTCAATATCTTCTATCTAGAAGACTATTAGTCCCATTCAATATCTTCTATCTAGAAGACTATTAGTCCCATTTAATATCTTCTATCTAGTAGACTATTAGTCCCATTCAATATCTTCTATCTAGAAGACTATCAGTCCCATTCAATATCTTCTATCTAGAAGACTATCAGTCCCATTCAATATCTTCTATCTAGAAGACTATCAGTCCCATTCAATATCTTCTATCTAGAAGACTATCAGTCCCATTCAATATCTTCTATCTAGAAGACTATCAGTCCCATTCAATATCTTCTATCTAGAAGACTATTAGTCCCATTCAATATCTTCTATCTAGAAGACTATCAGTCCCATTTAATATCTTCTATCTAGAAGACTATTAGTCCCATTTAATATCTTCTATCTAGAAGACTATTAGTCCCATTTAATATCTTCTATCTAGAAGACTATCAGTCCCATTCAACCATTCAATATCTTCTATCTAGAAGACTATCAGTCCCATTCAATATCTTCTATCTAGAAGACTATTAGTCCCATTCAATATCTTCTATCTAGAAGACTATTAGTCCCATTCAACCATTCAATATCTTCTATCTAGAAGACTATTAGTCCCATTCAATATCTTCTATCTAGAAGACTATTAGTCCCATTCAATATCTTCTATCTAGAAGACTATTAGTCCCATTCAACCATTCAATATCTTCTATCTAGAAGACTATTAGTCCCATTCAATATCTTCTATCTAGAAGACTATCAGTCCCATTCAATATCTTCTATCTAGAAGACTATTAGTCCCATTTAATATCTTCTATCTAGAAGACTATTAGTCCCATTCAATATCTTCTATCTAGAAGACTATCAGTCCCATTTAATATCTTCTATCTAGAAGACTATCAGTCCCATTTAATATCTTCTATCTAGTAGACTATTAGTCCCATTCAATATCTTCTATCTAGAAGACTATTAGTCCCATTCAATATCTTCTATCTAGAAGACTATTAGTCCCATTCAATATCTTCTATCTAGAAGACTATTAATCCCATTCAATATCTTCTATCTAGAAGACTATTAGTCCCATTTAATATCTTCTATCTAGAAGACTATTAGTCCCATTCAATATCTTCTATTTAGAAGACTATCAGTCCCATTCAACCATTCAATATCTTCTATCTAGAAGACTATTAGTCCCATTCAACCATTCAATATCTTCTATCTAGAAGACTATTAGTCCCATTCAATATCTTCTATCTAGAAGACTATTAGTCCCATTTAATATCTTCTATCTAGAAGACTATCAGTCCCATTCAATATCTTCTATCTAGAAGACTATTAGTCCCATTCAATATCTTCTATCTAGAAGACTATCAGTCCCATTCAATATCTTCTATCTAGAAGACTATTAGTCCCATTTAATATCTTCTATCTAGAAGACTATTAGTCCCATTCAATATCTTCTATCTAGAAGACTATCAGTCCCATTTAATATCTTCTATCTAGAAGACTATCAGTCCCATTTAATATCTTCTATCTAGTAGACTATTAGTCCCATTCAATATCTTCTATCTAGAAGACTATTAGTCCCATTCAATATCTTCTATCTAGAAGACTATCAGTCCCATTCAACCATTCAATATCTTCTATCTAGAAGACTATTAGTCCCATTTAATATCTTCTATCTAGAAGACTATCAGTCCCATTCAATATCTTCTATCTAGAAGACTATTAGTCCCATTCAATATCTTCTATCTAGAAGACTATTAGTCCCATTTAATATCTTCTATCTAGTAGACTATTAGTCCCATTCAATATCTTCTATCTAGAAGACTATCAGTCCCATTCAATATCTTCTATCTAGAAGACTATCAGTCCCATTCAATATCTTCTATCTAGAAGACTATCAGTCCCATTCAATATCTTCTATCTAGAAGACTATCAGTCCCATTCAATATCTTCTATCTAGAAGACTATCAGTCCCATTCAATATCTTCTATCTAGAAGACTATTAGTCCCATTCAATATCTTCTATCTAGAAGACTATCAGTCCCATTTAATATCTTCTATCTAGAAGACTATTAGTCCCATTTAATATCTTCTATCTAGAAGACTATTAGTCCCATTTAATATCTTCTATCTAGAAGACTATCAGTCCCATTCAACCATTCAATATCTTCTATCTAGAAGACTATCAGTCCCATTCAATATCTTCTATCTAGAAGACTATTAGTCCCATTCAATATCTTCTATCTAGAAGACTATTAGTCCCATTCAACCATTCAATATCTTCTATCTAGAAGACTATTAGTCCCATTCAATATCTTCTATCTAGAAGACTATTAGTCCCATTCAATATCTTCTATCTAGAAGACTATTAGTCCCATTCAACCATTCAATATCTTCTATCTAGAAGACTATTAGTCCCATTCAATATCTTCTATCTAGAAGACTATCAGTCCCATTCAATATCTTCTATCTAGAAGACTATTAGTCCCATTTAATATCTTCTATCTAGAAGACTATTAGTCCCATTCAATATCTTCTATCTAGAAGACTATCAGTCCCATTTAATATCTTCTATCTAGAAGACTATCAGTCCCATTTAATATCTTCTATCTAGTAGACTATTAGTCCCATTCAATATCTTCTATCTAGAAGACTATTAGTCCCATTCAATATCTTCTATCTAGAAGACTATTAGTCCCATTCAATATCTTCTATCTAGAAGACTATTAATCCCATTCAATATCTTCTATCTAGAAGACTATTAGTCCCATTTAATATCTTCTATCTAGAAGACTATTAGTCCCATTCAATATCTTCTATTTAGAAGACTATCAGTCCCATTCAACCATTCAATATCTTCTATCTAGAAGACTATTAGTCCCATTCAATATCTTCTATCTAGAAGACTATTAGTCCCATTCAATATCTTCTATCTAGAAGACTATTAGTCCCATTCAATATCTTCTATCTAGAAGACTATCAGTCCCATTCAATATCTTCTATCTAGAAGACTATCAGTCCCATTCAATATCTTCTATCTAGAAGACTATTAGTCCCATTCAATATCTTCTATCTAGAAGACTATCAGTCCCATTCAATATCTTCTATCTAGAAGACTATCAGTCCCATTCAATATCTTCTATCTAGAAGACTATCAGTCCCATTCAATATCTTCTATCTAGAAGACTATTA